CTACGGGCATTAGTGTAGAGGCATTTCAGGCCTCCTGGATGTTTAAGCCACACATGGGAATGAGGCGGTTAACATGAGGCCTATCCACCTTTGACTTCCCAGAGTGAATGACCATTTACAGCAAGGAAACACAGGGTTGCTTTTGTGATCTCTTTTATTGGAACAACAGTATAGTTGGGAGAGAAGTTAGGCAAGCTGTTGGGCACCAAGTACTCTTCTTTAGGTCAGCCCATGGTAGACAATGAATTTCAAAAACCTTTATTCTGTAGTGGGGTTGGAGTGGTGTTGTAGCCATGATGATTCAGGAAATGTGAGAAGCAAGGGGTTTTGTGGTGATATCTTTTATCAAACTATACATTTGGGAGTGATGTTAGGCAGGCTTTTGGGTACAAAGTGCCCTTCCTTAGGTCTGCAGAAAAAAGCAGACACAGTCTGAGCTAAATAGCAGATAAAACAATGGCTGGTGTTTAGCTCTGCATGCAAATGAAATCCAAGTTAAACACCAGACAAAACAATGGCATGTCTGTTTCCACACATGCAAAAGAAAACAGGTACCCAGAAGAGTGGAGGAGAGCTGCAAACAGGAGCAAAGAGAGATTGTTAGAAGTCACTTCAAAGCAAAAGAAGAGAGAACCAATTTATGTAAAACAAAGCCATTTTGAAGGGAAAGAATCATTACTACATGTGGAGTATAAGAGAGGTTAGAAGAGACCTGTTAGATTATAATGAGTCAGAAGACCAGTGTCCAATAAAAGGTTTCAAAAAATACCCTGCTTCTCACATGCTTCCTGAACCATCATGGCTGCAAAACACTCTAACCTCATTTACAGGATCAATCAATGAGAAGTAGTTTTCTATACAAGTGTGGAACAAAGCTCAAATTCTGTCATCTGGCCCCACCTTTGCTCGATTAGTTCCAATGAAAGCATCAACTAGCCATAAAAGCAATGGGTGATTTCAGTGCGTGTTCATTGGTGATTACAGTTTCAAGCCCTGCATCAGGAAAAGAATGTGTGACCCAGCATTCAGGACTTTCTTTGTCTGTCTAGGTAATGAAGAAAGAAGGAGAATCTATAGTTACTGTTGAACTTAAAGAAAATGGTGCAAACATTCCCATCACTAAGCATAACAGGTAAGATCCTGAAGCTCTTCTGCACATTTCTCTTTCCTTATTAGAATGCTCTGCCATATATAGTGCACATGTACTCACTTGTACTGATTTCTGTGCATATGGTACACAGCAAATTGTTTTTAATGAGTTTAGTGTTGAGAGTGTTATGCAAAATGGGACATGCATTACCAGACAGAGAGTTCAAGCATTGTTACCTTTACAGTGCACAAAGGATAGCAGCGATACAGAGGCAACTGAGTGAAATCTTACAACATGTGTTATGCAAATGTTCTAACAAAGCCCTATGGTCTGAGACTCTGTGAATTTGTGAAAGCACTATTTACAAATTTTGTGCATAATTTGTAAAGTGTGTTGACTGTCTAGGACTATCATATAATTATCATATAATTCCCATCACCAATAGAAAGAAACAGAACCATGCTGCTTTACATCTGTGTCTGTCCAGAATAACGTTGTTGATTTCAGAGGCAGTTACCATGGGTTGACACCAATGTAAATACATTAGAGTAGAACCTGGACCAGAGATTCATGTGTACATGCTGTACCAGATACAGGACACCTATCATGTCTTATTTTGGGGCCCTGGGATATTCCTATTGTATATATGTTCCTGTTGTAGTTGTTAATGGCATTAGCTGGAATGAGAAATCATTCCTAAATGTATTCATGTAAGGAGTTGAACTGATGGACATGTGCAGGTGACATTGTCATTCATCCTTATACAAGTAATCTTGCTGAACTCAATTGTTAGGGACAGACATTACACACAAACTGGTTTAAGTGATCAGAAACTGGTTTAAACCTGTAACAGAACAGATTTTCAGTACACATAAACCAGATTGAAAATGGCTGAAAGTGGTTTGAGATAAATCTGGTTGAATGTAGTATCAGACTTCACTGATTTGGCTGAAACCGGTTTATGAAAAGTCTGTCCCAGACCCCTTCCTGTTTTAAGTTAAATCAGAGTCCTCTAGCATCCCAGATGCTTTGCAACTCTGGGCGGGGCTCTGCTCTCTGCTCCAGCCCAGGAGGGCCAGCCCTTCCCTTCTGCTCCCTGGCTGCAACTCTGGCAGAGGCTGCAGGTACAGCAGTGTCTGCCTGGCTTCCTCTTGCTCTCCTCTCTCCTCCCCACCGCTCCATGCTCAAGCAGGAATTCTGACATCCCCTCTGTCTTACACAGACAACTCTCAGCATTAGCTAGCATACACCAGGCTGGCTACAGTCCATGCTGTGGGAGATGATGACAAAGGCAGACAGGACAGGGTTGGCTTAGGGCTTTTTGGAGCTAATTAACAGGTAGCTGGTAATGACCCTCCATTCCTTCCTTTGAAAAAGTTGTTTTAGAAGAGCTTGAACTAATGAGGGTTGTTTTAATGAACTG